TACTGCATACTAGCTTCAAGGGACTAAGGAGATGCCAGTTTCAGTAGTCACCAGGACAAACACAAAAGCTTGACTGAAATAGCCGGTGCGAGCAGCAGAATGTCAATGCGGATCTTGCCCAGATGAGCTCTGGTGGCAGGCAGGAGAGTGGCTGTTAAACCGTTCCAACAGAGGACAGAGGGAACTGAAGAATGCATCTCTTCAGCGAGGAAAAGAGCATGGATGAGATCCTGACCTTCAAAATAACAACTTGGAAAAACGAGTAGGTTAAGAGGAGAAGAGTGTTAAAATGTATAGAAAAAATAATGGTATGGGGAGAAAATAGAAAGGAAAAAAGAAAGAGAAAAAATTTAACCTGGCAGATAAAGAGTAGTGATTAGAAAGTGGAAGAGCAAGACAGAATAAACAGGATCAGGAGAGACAGCAAAGCTTATAAATGTACTTGAAGTTACTGCTGCTTTGTGGCTAAGTAGCTATCCCAGGTGGAATAAAAAATTAGTAATGAAGGAAGATCAAAAGGAAAAGGAGTGCGTGGGGGGGGGGGGAACAAGAATGCCCAGACCAGTGCCACCGTCCCGGGGCCGCCCCACGCTGCAGGCACCGGCGCAGGGGACAGGCAGGCGTCAGCGTGGCCGCTGGCGTCGTTGGCAAAGGCCGAGTTGGCCCAGTGTAACTTAGGGCAGCTGAACCAATCATCTGCCAGCCACTTCTGCTGGGCAAAATGAGACTTTTTAACGAGGTGACTTCCACCAAGTACACAACCAGCACAGTCACTGGGCTGGGGGGGATTTGCTGAAGCCAGCTCCTGTTCCCTTTCTGCCACAGGCTGGAAAAGAGAAGTATAACCTTCCACCCCAGCCAAGACACAGCTGCAAGTTGCTTCTTTGCTTCATTGGTAATGTATTTTTTCAGTATATGGTAGTTTGCTTTTTGAATGTTGAAAAAACTGACTTGGCGTTTCCTGTGGTAGAACAGAGAACCTCTGATCTACCTGCAGAGACGCCAGTATTTGCGTGGCTTTAAAGACAGAGCAATACAGCGTCTTTCTTGCAGCTTGCCAAGCTGCCAAATAATAATGTGATGGGGATATTCAGTAACGCTAATGAGAACCCCATTTTGTTTCTGGACAAAAGACACTATTCAAAATCTGTATCCCATGAATATTATTTACATACATTTATGCAGAACCCAACCCCACCCCACGTTAGTACCATGTCAAAGAGGAAAAATTAAACGTTCATGACAAGAAATACAAAGCTAAAGATGAAACAGATTTAAAACTGTGATAGATTTAACTTGGACTCATCTTCAATTATTTGGCAGTGCATTTCTCTAATTATATACAGACTGGATTTACTGTGGGGCCTGTGTTGTCTTCAAGGATTTCTTCTGGCCAAGGGGAGACAACTGGAGAGAAACTACTGCTGGCGAGAAACCCTCTGCCAGGAGACAGCGTCCTAAGCACGTGGGCTGGCCTGCAAGGAGCACACAGAGGGGTTCGCCTCACTTTCGGCAGATGGGATTTCAGAGCTGCTTTCAGCCAGCCAAACCCTCGGGAAGCCCCGCGTGGCCTTACGAAGGATAAAGCCCTGCTTTTGTCAAGACAGAGCAGTTTTTATTACTCCAAGGAAGCATAATCAGTACTTCTCTATGACAACAAAAGGGTGGGTCTGATCCCATGACCAAAACAGCCTTCCTCAAATATGTCATCACAGATGTTAACAAGCCAGGCTGTCTGAAAGTCCTCATGCACTGGCTGTGAGCTTGTGTAGGAAATGCCGGTCTATGTCACAGCATGTAACAGGTACGTGCCAAAGGAGCAAAGTGACTTGGGCTTCAGTATCTGCTAAATGTGTGTTTTTGTAAACTACAGATGCTGTATGAGTGATGAGGGGTACCTGGAATTTTTACGGGGTTTTTGGTGGAGCTGATGCAGCCTGTGGCCTGCTGCTATCCGGCCCAAGGCCCGTGCTCCTCACCACGGCACTCATCCTCCTGGAGTGAACGGCTGTTCCTCTCAAAGCCAGCGTCGCATCTCCTGGCTCTTCCCCCGCTGCCTCCCACAGGGCAGCGCCCACAGCCTCTTTCTTAGTCTTTAAATTTCTCATTATTTCTAGTATAAATGATGTTGAAGGTCTAATTTCAATTGGCTAACTTCCTCTTAAAATGAATTTTGGTTGCGAAATACCCTCTGCCCATGGGGTGAGTTTTCTCCGTCGCTACCCGGTGGGGACTGTTTCATCCGTCGGGCTTTACGCCTTTACAAGTAACATGGCAGAAAGTGTTACACCGAAAATCAGAAGTCTCTAATGACATCTTGGACCTCGGACCCAAGGGAGAGCCGCGGGGTCTTCCTGGGGGAGCAGTGCTTCCACCGCCAGGCTAAGCTCGTTC